CACATGCACTCTGGACCCCCCTCACACAAACACACTGCATCCCCTCTCACGTGCACTCTGGACCCCTCACACAGACACACTGCATCCCCTCTCACATGTACTCTGGACCCCTCACACAGACACACTGCATCCCCTCTCACATGCACTCTGCGCCCCTCACACATGCACTCTGGACCCCTCACACAAACACACTGCATCCCCTCTCACATGCACTCTGGACCCCTCACACAGACACACTGCATCCCCTCTCACATGTACTCTGGACCCTCACACAGACACACTGCATCCCCTCTCACATACACACTGCATCCCCTCTCACATACACACTGCATCCCCTCTCACATACACACTGCATCCCCTCTCATAAACACACTGCAGGCCACACACTCCTGCAATGACCTATCACCTCTACACCCCACTCAGCGGGTATCCCTCCGCCGGGACTACTTCCCGTGTGACAGGGCGGAGCGCTGTGTGAGACCGGACGGGCTGACAGTTGTGTCAGAGAGAGGGGGCAGGCCAGGGCCCTTCGGAGCCACCCACAGTATTTATAACCATACAGGAGCGGAGCATGGAGAGCCCGGCCCGGGTACAGGAGGAAGCCCTCAGACAGTCCGGGCTGAGCGCAGGGGGCAGCAATGGCTATTACTGCCGGGAGTGACTGGCTGAATGGAGATCACCGGCCGCGGCACTCAATGGGTTAATAACGGACTTCTCAACCGCCCGAAGAATATTTTTTTTTTTTTCGTTTTCCAATGCTTTGCGTTGATTGGCTTTTAAATCTCTCCCTTATCGCCGATTGGCTGCTTGTAACTAGTGGAAAAACTTTATGTGGCGCGCCGATTGGATGAACTCTCCCTGTGTCCGCTGTGATTGGTGGACGTTTTACTCTGCAGTGATTGGTTGCCAGTGTCAATTTTTTTAGTTCTCAGTTCTTCACTGATCGGTGATTGGGTAGTATTTTCTGTCCTGCATTCTGATTGGCTAATTCCTGGTTGCTACACCATTTAAACTGTGTAACTGGCAGCTCTGGGGTCTCTATGGTAAGATTCATGGGATACAGTCTGATAACAGTGAGTGCAGGGTCCAGGTTAAACCTATAGACATTTAATATAGGTTAGTTTGATAGACATTTAATATAATTTTAGAGCCATTTGGTATAGTTTTAGTTTAGTTTTATAGCCATTTGGTATAGTTTTAGTTTTATAGTCATGCATTTGCACATTTGACTAATAATAAAGCTCTGTGTGAGGGACAGTAACATCTCCTGTATTACACTGGCTGTATAACATATATACTGTACATATTATCTTCCATAATATTACTTGTAAATACCAAGTCCTCCTGTTGCCCTATATAAATAAAAATATGTACTTTATACAGGTCTTGCTGTTTCTTTGCATTGTATCCTGGAAAGTCTTATGTTCACCTATACAGGGCGTAACATTTTAAGTCTTATGCTACTAGCCAGGCCTTAAAGTTACTAAGTTAATCGCCACTGCAAGTCATCGTAGGCTCACGGGTGATGAATTTGAACGCCAGGTCTAAATTTTCAGTCCCTACTGGCGAGTGGAAATTTTAATAAATATATATATCAACATACACATAGTATAACTACAGCACTTACTGCGTCTGATTCTCCATACAGTAATGTATCATGAAGTTCTAATTACATTGTTAAAGGGGCAGTCTAAACACTATAACTGGTACAGCTCAGTGTAGTGGTTATGGTGTGAAGACCCTACTGACACTATCCAAAGGGCTTTTTTTCAAGATACAAAGATTGCCATCTCTTCAGTTAAATTGCTAATGTAAAGTATACATTTACATTATCAATATCCGTTACATTAAGCATGGATTTTTTTTATTTATTTCTGTTTTAATTCTCAAAGATATTTTATTTATATTAAACATTTTATGTCTGCTCTTCTGGCACAAGTAAAGCATTGTATGCAAATTAATTTATTCTCTGTGGTGTTATCTGAACAGCACTATGGCAGGAACGCCCATTTATTTGTTCAGATTCTCACTAAAGTCCCCAAGCTTGCAAGAGCATCATGTGACAAAACATCATGTGACCCTGACATTGCCCAGCATGTGGAAGTAAGGCTTTTTTTTTTTCCCTTTCTTACTCTGTGCTTCGATAATATTTACTTGACAGAGGGAGCTGGGAACGTTCCGTTTTAGTGACAGTTGCTCATTTAAAAACCATTACCAAAATTGATTTCAGAAAAGTATAGTACCCTGGAGTTCTTGATTGTGAATACATTTTTTTTCTTTTGCAGTTAAAGCAATATGCTTGCAATAAGTTGACATACAGTTGTTAACATGGCCAGATCTAGCTCGCCCGATTCCTCTCTTTCCATCTCTTCACTTCTGGCCAGTTGCAGCCTGGGCAGCAGCAGTACCTCTTCTCATTCACCGAGTGGTATTGCATACAAGGACCAGCTGTATGATTCAGCCAGCAAAGCACTGGAGGCGTATATTAAAGACTATGACGAAAATCTCCAGTCCCCTGGGAAAATTACCATTGGCAAGTCTACAAAGATTCCTGTTACAAAAAAAGGTACATGTGGATGCATTTAAGTTGTATTAACTGTGGAAACATGTTCTTGCTCCCTTCCATTCATAGTCACACCCTGCAGATTTGCCTTTCATGGTCATTTAGTCACAGAAGCAATATTATTAGAGGAAGCCATGCGTTAAATATGTGAGCTACATTTTTGTGTGTGACAAAATTAATGCAATAGCCAAAGGCAGTGAATCAAATTCTTCCCTCCGTAGCGAATTTCCCAATATTCTAGGCATTTTCTCCCATGATGTGCAATAGCTTCCTCTGGAAATTAAAGTGCACAGCTTTCTCGCAGATATCAAATGTATTCCTAACACTATAGTGTCCTAATACCTAGTTAGATTATTGGGCCCCATTACATTAAGTAAGCAAAGTGATTTACTTTCCTTTACTCCATCGCCACACCACTCTCCTTGCTGTCACCTCACTCCCTGAATTACTGAGATCATCAGTATTGTGTGCAGCATTGACACAGGCCTAACACAATCACTGCTTATGTTAGCCTATTTTTATACATGAATGTGGGCTCAGAGTGCAAGTATCATACTCTGCAGTAATGCAAAGTGATTGTTGCCTTGACTGACAATTTAAAGGACCACTATAGTGCCAGGAAAACATACTCGTTTTCCTGGCACTATAGTGCCCTGAGGGTGCCCCCACCCTCAGGGTCCCCCTCCCGCCCGGCTCTGGAAGGGGAAAGGGGTTAAAAACTTACCTTTTTCCAGCGCTGGGCGGAGGAGCTCTCCTCCTCCTCTCCGCCTCCGTTACGCCCGCCGGCTGAATGCGCACGCGCGGCAAGAGCTGCGCGCGCATTCAGCCGGTCTCATAGGAAAGCATTTACAATGCTTTCCTATGGACGCTGGCGTGCTCTCACTGTGAAAATCACAGTGAGAAGCACGCAAGCGCCTCTAGTGGCTGTCAATGAGACAGCCACTAGAGGAGTAGGGGGAAGGCTTAACCCATTCATAATTATAGCAGTTTCTCTGAAACTGCTATAATTATGAAAAAATGGGTTAACCCTAGAAGGACCTGGCACCCAGACCACTTCATTAAGCTGAAGTGGTCTGGGTGCCTAGAGTGGCCCTTTAAGGGGAAACTAAGTATAAAAATCATTACATCTTAATGTAGTGGTTCTGATGCATACATGTCATTTTATTTATTTATTTTTTTAACATGTAAAACATTTCCTTTGCTGAGGCATGGTAATGTTTACATTTGCATGAGAACACACCTGTAGCGGATTTGAGGCTGACAGCCACTAGAGGCGCGTCCCACATAAGACCTTAAGCTTCTCTTAGGAGCATTGGACTCCATGTTTCTCTTTGAGAAGCATCAGATTTGCAGAGTGCAGCGAATACTGTGCATGTACTGTACGAACCCTGTGCTTCACTATGAGAAGCATTTGAGTGGGCAGAGATCATCAGTTTTGATGATTTTATCAAGGGAAAAGCAGCTGCTAAGAGGAGACTGGCTTTATATATATGTGTGTGTGTGTGTGTGTGTGTGTGTGTGTGTATATATATATATATATATATATATATATATAAAAGCCCCTTAATATAATATAAAGTAAGCCTCTAACACTAAAAGCAAAAGAGAATAAAAATAGAGCCAAATAACAGGTACACTTAAGGAAACGGGGGGTAACCCCAAATGTAACATATCAAGAAAAAACAGGAAGTGTACCTACATGTTATATATCTAAAGTACAGAGCAAAATGCGGTTACATAATGGGTATATCAATCTCAGACAATAATGCTGAGAAGGTATACTATTTAGCAAAGTATACCACTGTAATATAATCCAAAAAGGAAAAAATAAATAAATTTTATTAATAAATATTAAAACCAAAGACATACAAGTGTACACTGGTGAAGACCACACAAAAAAAGTGCTACAATAACTACCTATGAATAATTGTGCAAATAAAAAGATGAAAAGAATCTCAATCAGTGGTATTAGTCTTATGTATCAGGACTGGAAAGTAATCACCGGGTCACTTGGTAGTTATAACCAAAATTCAAAAGAAGTGCTGATGGATGTCAGCAATTAATACAGCTATAGCAAGTGTTCAGGGATTGTAACCAGTGTAATAAGAAATGATTTAGATGATAATATAAAAAGATACGGAGCGGAAAGCACAGCTTTGCATATAGAGTAGGATGATGTAGGTCTCGCCAAATGCGTTAGCAACAATGTAACTGAAACTACTAATAGATGACAGAATTCAATTATACATGATAAAACTTAGTGGACAGCTTCAACTACTACAGCTATGTTAGAAGAAAGAAATCCAAAAAGTGCATACTGGCAACCAGATATTGACACTGGCTGTGTATTGCTGCTGTAGCAGTGAATGACCTCAGTGCCTGTACGGGCAACTAACAATCATCCCGCTCATACGGGGTGAGTAAGGCATAAAGGCATAAAGGTAGCCGTAAGAATAACGGTTAGGCTCAATATAGAGTAACTTTATCCTAAATTCAACTGATACATAGTGTGATGATAAACTATGAATCTGAAGATAAATAGTTAGCTGTAAAACTAGTGCCTTCGAGGGCACCTACCTATAGTCCTGCTAAAGACAGTAAAATAGATGAAAAGAGAAAGAGAGCCGTAAAAACGATAATGGAGCTCTCAAATTAACCATAGACAGAAATAGAAGGAGTGCCTATAAGCAA